CCAACAATAACTTTCTTCCATAAGCCTTCTTCATTTGTCGCTAATCTCCCCCACCACTTTCCCATCAACGCCAAGTTAAATTTTCTCAAATCCCTCACTCCCAGCCCTCCATGTTCTTTTTGCTTACAAACCCTCTCCCAACTAACCCAATTTATTTGTTTCTCTACTCCTTCCCCTCCCCATAAGAAGCTTCTGCGAATTTTATCAATAGATGTGAGCATACCTTTTGGAATGAGGTAGACTGACATCAGGAACACAGGCAAGCTAGACAACACAAAGTTAATGAGTGTGACCCAACCTGCAAGAGAGAGATACCGACCTTTCCAGCTAGCTAGTTTCCTTTTGAAAGAATCCACCAATGGCTGCCACATTGCTAGTTTTCTATGATTCCTGCCAATAGGAATTCCCAAGTATTTCATTAGTAACTCTCCCACCTTGCAACACAGCTTGTACGCCATTTTCTCAATCCATCCTTCCTCCGCTTCAACCCCCACTATCTGACTCTTCCCATAATTAATTTTCAAATTGAAGGCCAGCTCAAAAGTCCTCATGATACATTTGATCACCCTTATATTGTCTTTTAATGCCTCCCCAAAAAAGATTGTATCGTCCGCAAATTGTAAATGGGTGACCATCACCTCACCGTCACCAATCAACACCCCCTTGTACAGATCCTTCTCAATTGCGGATGGCACTAAGCCATTTAGCCCCTCCGCCACAATCAAAAATAAAAAAGGGGATAACGGATCACCTTGTCTTAATCTTTTGTTGACAAGGAACTGTTTTGTTGGGCTTCCATTGATAAGGATTGAAATCATGCTTGATTGAAGACATTCTTGTCTCCATTTCCTCCATGTATCATTGAATCCCATCCTCAACATCATGTAGTCTAGGAATTCCCAGCATACTTTATTGTATGCCTTTTCAAAGTCAATTTTGAACACGAAGCTTTTCCTTTTCTTTCTCTTTGCCTCTTCAATCACCTCACTTGCAATTATTGCACCATCCACAAGCTGTCTACCACTTATGAATGCCATCTGCTACTCCCCTTTAACTCTAGCACTTTTCAAAGTCGGTTTGCTAATAACTTCGCAATGATCTTATACATCATTCCAATAAGTGAGATGGGTCTGTATTCTTCTATTCACTAAGAGTTTTCCACCTTTGGGATTAGAATGATGAAAGAAGGTTTGACCCTTTTACAAGCTTGCCTTGCTCATGAAATTCTTGAATGAACCCCACAACATCAGCTTTTATATCCTTCCATATCTCTTTTATGAATCTGAAGTTAAAACCGTCCGGCCAAGGTGATTTTGTAGAATCACAATCCCACACTGCATTTCTAATTTCCTCTTCATTGAAAGGTGCCGTGAGGAACTCATTATTTGTCTGGGATATCTGTTTGAAGATGATGCCATCGAGCTTTGATCTGTTTCATTTTTCTTCTATGTACATCTTCTCAAAGTACTTTGGCACCTCTTCTCTTATTTGAGCCACCCCTGTGTGCTGTTCACCATCAATTTGGATACAGTTCATTTCATTTCTCCTCCATCTTCCCTTCACACTTCTATGGAAGAATCTTGTGTTTGCATCCCCTTCCTTTAGCCACATCTTTCTTGACTTTTGTTACCACATTTTCTCCTTTATTTTTAAATTCCTCCAAAGGTCGACAAAATTGTTTCTCCTCTTTTCACTATCCTCTATTGAGAGTTGTGCATCCTCTCCTCTCTTGTCAATTATTGCTATCTCCCTTTCTACCTCATTTATTTTATAGCCTACATCTACCATAAATCTGCCACTCCACTCTTTCAATGCTTGCTTGGTTCTTTTCAATTTTTCTTTGAGAACGAAGCCCTTCCATCCTTTAATCACTGTCGATCTCCACACACTTCTAATTATTTCCTTGCAACCTAGTTGTTCCAACCATACATCAAAGAATCTGAATGGTTTTGGGCCCCAATCTATCCTCTCATTCTTCAACATGACCAAGCAATGATCTGACACTGTTCTTCTTAATCCCCATTGCTTTACATCGCTCCACTTTATAAGCCATTCTTCCGAAAGCAAATATCTATTAATTCTGCTCATGCTTTGGCTATTGGAGTTGTACCAAGTGTATTTTCTTCCCACTAATGGTAAATCAACTAATCTCGCTTCATGAATGAAACAATTAAACTCACTCATTTCCCTTGATACCTCCCTGCATCCTGCTCATTCCTCTACACTTTTTACAACATTAAAGTCTCCTCCTATACACCATTTGCCCTTTCTACTCCTAATCAGGTTCAGTAACTCCTCCCATAAGGCTCTTTTTCCAATCAACTAACATGGGGAATAGACATTCAATATGTATATAGGCGTCAGGTCCTTCCCCCATAACCCACTCACACCAATATAATTGCTCCCCATTAAAACCTCTTTTTACCTAAACACCTTAGAACTCCATACACATAAAAAGCCTCCGGACATTCCTTCTGAAGGTTTGAATACCCAATCAAAATCATCAAAACCCCATAACTTTCTGCATATACCTCTATCAATTACCGCCATTTTAGTCTCCTGAATCTTTAAAAAATCCACATTCTCCTTTCTAACTAAATCTCTAATTTGTCTTTTTTTACCAATCCCTCCAAGGCCTCTAACATTAAATGATAATGAAATCATCAAGAGATCTGCTTACCTTCTTTTCATCACTAGTTCCCTGCCTTCCCAATTTTGTCTTTGTCTGCCTGTCTTTACTCTCCATTCCCTCAATTCTCTACACAATATCTTCTTCGTTTTCTACTATAGCACCAAGCTATTTTGCTAAATCCCAAATTTCCTTAACAAGCTTGTCACTCATTTTCTTCCTCCATTCTCTGTTACAGTTCTGGATTCCACTATCGGCAATGGATTCACCTGCAATTTCTCAATTTGGGCTCGCTACAAATTCCGGCTTTACCTTCCCTTCCCCTTGTTGATTGCATGTCCTTCTCCTTACTTTTATTTTTTGCAAACCCTTTCCAACAGCTTTCGATTGAGTAAACCGAACTACATAAGCTTATTTTCTTCTTCCTCATCTTTATAGATCTCTTCGATCTCCCATTCTTCCAGATATGCACTCCTTCTGTACTTTTTTGGTGACTTTCTTATGGAAGATCTTCTTCTTTACTTTCCTTCGATTCTTCCATAATCTCACTGTCTCTGATTTTTTCCATCTCACTTACTGAATTTTCTTTCCTTTCTGCCTCATGTTCCCTGTTCTTACACCTCTCTTTCCCATTATCTGAGTTTTCTTTCGCTTTTGCCACCTGTATGTTGCTTCTAAACACATCCACTTCGATTTCTACACTTTTTTCCATTTTCGCCACATGCTCCTTGCTATTGGACTTCTCCTTTACACTTTATGAATTTGGGTTTGGCCCATCACTTGTTTTTTGGACCAAGCCCATGTTAAACGATGCTGCATAGCTTGGGCTACCCTCCTGCAAGTTCAGGCCCCCTATCTGCTTCATCCCATTCCTTTCCTTCGGGCCTACAGTCTTCCCCACATAATTACCTGCTGCCATTTCAGTCTTCCTTATCTGTCGCGCCTCCCGTTTGTCTCCTGCACTGTTCACTCTCTCAATCTCATTTTGAATTTGAATTACACTTTTTGACATTGTTTCTGCGTCTTTCATCACTTCTTCCGAGGCTTGTGGGCCACAATTACTGTTGGGCTCATCACATTTGTTTGCCACATCATCATCTTCAACCTCTAGCCCATCCCTTACTTCTTTTTTCTTCTCTGTTTCTGCAGCTTCTTTGGTATCAAAGCCTTCATTTCCATCATCAACCGACCATGATTCATGCTCCTCTGAATCACTTTGAAACGTGGGCATGAAATCTTGTTTCAAGGAGAAGAAGTTATTGGTACATTCCTCCTCCGTGAATTTCAAATTATACAGAGACCCATTGATTTTAATTTGACCTATAACAGATATATTGTCCCTAATCTGAGTTGAGATCAAGAATCTCGCAATGTCAAACCTTTTTCTTTTACTTGTGCTATCATCCAAGCACATAAATTTTCCCCATGAGCAGGCCATGGTTTCAAAGAAGTCTGTTCCCTATACGTTTAATGGTGCTCCTTGACATCTAATCCACACAAATCTATCCCTAGCAACCATATCTGATGACCAAGGTCGTACCATTCAAACCACTGTCCCAACCACTATGAGGCCATCTCTACCAAGTCCTCTAATTCCCCTTTCTCCTCATAATCTAACAACACCATCTTTCCCCCCATAGCGCGGATTTGACATGAGAAATAGCCCTCCATGTAGAATTTTTCCTACAAATTATGGACAATTTCAATCGAATGAGCCAAACCCACATAACAATGATCTAGCCATGCACTATCCTCTTGCTTCACATTATATTCCAATCCAGCCCATTTTTTACCCACTCCTTTTTCCTGCCACATTTTCTTGTCATCATTCTTTCTTTCTCCCTACTTGTTTATGTTTTCGTTCTCTCCTTGCTCCTCAATTTGAGTCTCGCTATTCTTGATTCTCAACTCCTTTTTGTGATTTCCATACTGCTGGCCTCTCACTACTTTAGCATAACTTCTCCTCTGCGGTACTGGCTCCATGGTTTGACTACTTCTCCTTCCTCTATCAACCTTCTACTCATCTTCATACTTTGGGGAGTTCACCCATAATTTTTTCTCCCCCACCTAGATTTGGTCTAATTGCTTCTCAAGCTCCTTTTTATCCTTCACATTCAAGAATCTAACAACTCCAAATCTACCCCCATTTCTACTTTTCCTATTTGGATTGTATATGTCGTAAACTCTTCCATATTTCAAGAAAGTATTCCACATGTCTGCATAACTCCATTCCTCTAGAAAGTTTGTAAAAAAGTATGGAGTGGCCTACTTATACAATCCCTAGTCGTATGACTCTCGTTTATTCCTTCTTTGAAGCTGATTCTGAACTAGCTGCTCTCCCCTTTGTGTCTTCACTTCATTCCAACTTTGTTGGCTTCTTCCCTGAGATCTTGCCTGCTCTCTGCCCTGTGTTGTCCATCTTCCTTGTGTTCAACAATCGCCCCCTCTTTCTCTCTATCTTCCTCTCTCTCTCATCTCTCCTGTGACACTTTTTATTGAAAAAATCCACTAAGTTTTATACTGACTGCTGACTTAGAAGAAGTGAAGCTTACTAGTTCCTAATCTTGCAGCAGTTTTATATCAAGATACACCTTACATTCATCTCCTTCTCTTAATTCAAGTATATCATGGCTGCAATTTGATTGACTTATTCATCACAAACATGGACCACTGCCCTTTGCTTTAGAATATTTAAAACCTCTCTAGTTTCACTTTCTTTGTCCTGGCTAGATGTCCTTTCTTGTTAAAGCTGAATCAAGTACATCTTAAAGCTTAAATTGATTAAAAAAACTGTCAAATTCATTTCATTAATTGGTCTTTTAGGCCTTCAAGTCTAAATGTATGAATGTCCCAAGAGTATAAGAAGGATCAATAATATGCAAGTACTTCCAAGGATTCGAAAATTAAATCCTACACCCACTGTCAGGTCTGTCTGGAAAAAAATAGTTACCAGACTGTATTCGTTCAAGAACGAAAATGATGAATGTTCTGACTGAAAGGGGGAAGCCTCAATAAGCGTTTCCTATTTCTGAGAGTTTAATAGAAGGAGGGCACAAGCTAATTTCTATAACATACATGACTCTTATAGCCGCCCTGGCCAATCAGAAATGTTTCAAGTCCATAGTTTCAATCATCTCTATTGTACAAAAGAATGGTTTGAAGGCTGATTCAGTTCTCTTCAATGCCATGATGAATGTCTTTTCTGAATCTGGAAATATGGAAAAAGCCATGAAGATTTTTTAGAAAATGAAGGAGAGTGGAAGCAAGCCCTCAACCAGTACTTTAAATATCCTTATTAACGAGTATGCAAAAGTTGATGGGGCTATAGAATCTACAAAGTTATTAGAGTTAATGTCGCAGGAGGAAAACATTCAACCAAATGATAGGACATACAATCATCTAGTTAAAGCTTGGTGTAACAGAAAGAACATAAAAGAGGCAAGGAATGTGGTATATAAAATGTTGGCATCTAGTGGTATCTATCCTAATGTTGTCATGTACAACACAATAGCAAGAGCATATGCGGAGGTTGCAAAGACATATAAGGCAGAACAAATGATATTTGAGATGCAAACTAACAAAGTGGCACCAAATGAGTGTGCTTGTGGAATCATTGTGAGTGGATATTCTAAAGAAGGTAATACGACAGATGCCTTGAGGTTTGTCTACAGGATGAAGGAGCTAGGGTTGTAGCCAAATCATGTAGTTTTCACCTCTCTAATCAAAGGATTTCTAGATGTAACAGATAGTGATGGAGTTGATGAGGTGAGTTCTATCCCATGATGCTCATCTATTGAGAGATAGCAAAGGTGTAAGGTTCACTCTACTCCTGTTGTTACTCTTCCATTCTCCTTTCTGGTGCTAGATGTTCTTATTTCTGTTATGGTTCTTCCCTTTTTGTAGCAGCTTACCCCAAGACATGACTAAACACGAGAAATTGACAAATTTAATTAAGATCCAAAGCCCAAAGAGGGCATTTTCAAAGCAACCCAGGCATATTTAGGTAATGTATAAAGGCAAAAAATAAAAGTGCTCTAACACAAACAATCGAAAAATAAATCTAAGATGTCACAAATGAAAGTTACACCAAGTTAGCACTTGGCTTAAGTCCAATATATTCGAGAGTCAATAACAATTCAACATTTTGCTTTGTCTTCCTTTAACTGTTACATACAATTGTTGGGAATCAACCCTTGAAGCTAGGAATAATGCATTCTAACCAAAGTGCTGAGATAATAGCTCAACAACTTTCCATGGGCTTAAAGTTTAGAGAGAAATATATCCATAAAGAGCCTTTAGTGGTGAGGCTACTTATTTACAAACAAGTGGACCACTTAGAGGTTCCTTCATCGCATTAGTGTTATAAATGGGTAATAAATATGTCGTTAACTACTCATATTGAAGATAATTACTCTTTTAAAATTCTCTCTCTATTCTTTAATTGAGAACCTTTCTTTCTATAGTTTACAAATTATTTCTAACTTTAGCATTTAAGCATTGTAGTGTCTTCTTAAAAAGACATCCTCAAACTTTGTAGGTCATCGAAGACATTAGATTACATGACCTAGAATTGCAACCCAACCTAAACAAATTCTACTTCAACATAAAGGAAATACAAGGATAGCGTAGTTTGACATTTTATTATTGGACTACCTATTTTTCATAGTCCCTACCATTTGTGCTTTTGTAGTAAGACCTACATATACTATTTATATATGTATACAAGGTAGTATCATCAACTATATGGTCTTGTGATAGAGTTATCTGTTTTCTTAGTCTATTTAGAATTTTAAGATTTATTTTAATTGAAATTTAATATTTAGAGTTCTGGGTTTGTATTTTAGATTTTAAGATATAATATTTAATGGTAGAGTTTAATTAAAAGTTCAGGATTTAGAATTTAATGATTTAGAGATGAAGTTGTTATTTAAATTAAAAATCAAGAGTAAATGTTATAAGACTTAAAGTTAAAAATTTAAACTTACTAGACCAAAAATTTTAAAGTGAAAAAGCTATAGGGACCAATAGACATGGACATTGTACAATCCAGAAAGCTGAAAAAAGAGAGAGGAAAAAAAAAAGGTTTGCCAGAGGCTATGAACGCTAATATTTTTGTTAGGTTGCTAATTTTACAATAATTTTTTTTAAATAATTAATTATTATAAATATTTATAAAAAAATAAGAATTAAAATATTTTGATATTTTAAATATTAAGAATTTTTATGAAATTATTAAAATATTTTAAATAAATTTTTTTGTGTGTTGATTTATTAAAAATATTTTAATATTTTTATTATTATTCTTAATATTTTAAGTATCAAAATGTTTTAATTTTTTTAATCTCAATATTTATTAATAAATTAATTTTAAATTATTAAACAATAAATATTAATTATTTATTAATTATTAACTATATTAAACAATTAAATTAAAATGAAATTTTGACAATTTTAATGAAACTAACAATTAGTTTGGTAATAACCATAGCCCCGTGACAATTCTCTTTGGATAAGAACCTCCAGTGGCTGTCAAATGCAAACCACACTTCTGCTACTCTCCAAAGTCCAAACCAGGAGGGGTAGGCCTATTTCTCTTCGTGTTCTGCAGAACGTACAAACCCTGTAGCCAACCCCTTTCCCTCTCTCGACGTTCCCCACCCTCCAAACTAGGGAGGCATAACTGAATTTCATAGTCTGAATTCTTTTTTTTCCTTCTCTTTCTCAAGAACATCTGCTTGAACATTGAGAAAAACTGTTCGTTCAACCTCTAGCTAGCTTGATCATTGTGGGTACCTGGTTTGCATTTTATGCCGTCTACCCCCATTTGCATTGCTTGCAATTTTCAGTTCGATAGACGGTAGTTTATAAAGACTGGTCTTTGCTCAAGAGATGTGGGTGTTTCTTGTTTGGTTGAATTCTGTGGGTGAAAGATTTGATTTTTGAAAAATGTGAGTTGCAATTTTTAGTTGTTTTAATGGTACTTTGTGGATTGGCGTTTGTTTTGATTCTATGTCCATGAAATGGATTCATGTCGAACAGATGAATGTCTTGGTGTGTGTGTATATATATATATATATATTCCTGTTATTATGGTTTACTTGTTTTGGTGAATTTAACCTCCCTCTGTATTGGTTTATTTCTGCGGGAAAAATTTGGTCTTGTGCTTTCCTTTTTGTTTCTTTGGGCAAAAGCAAAATGAGTTACTGAAAATCATGCTTGCCTTCTTCATTTTGCAGGCCCGAGACTCTTCCATCTTTTGGGGAGTTCGGGTTTTGGGTAATGAGTCTTAGGTTATGGTCATCATGAACTTGATTTGGACTGTTAAACAATTTCCTCCTCTGCAAGTGCAGTGTGGTAGCAATGATTTTCAATCTCAAAATTGCAGGAAAGGTGGTTTACTAGAC